TACTGAATATACCATAGACTGCTAAGAGAATTCAAAACAGGTTTGTCACAGAGAGGGTGAGACCAGGCTGCTCCTTGGAGGCATGGATTCTAAAGTTTCATCTGACATACACTGGACATGCTGCAAGGTAGAATTAGTCCTTGGAGAGGGAAGTCAGGCTTGGGAGAGTGGAGGGACAAGTGGGATAAGTCCTTGGAGAAGGACGTCATGCTTGGGAGGGTGGAGGGACAGTGCAAGAGAGGAAGTCCCTTGATGAGATGGATTCAGTGACTGGGGTAATGGGGATAGATGTATCAGAGACAATAATATTGGCACAGGATAGAGCAGGGTTTATGGTTGTTATACACAGGATCATTGTGAGTTGCAGGAGATTCGATGGCACATAACAACAACAAAAACAATATGCACACAAATTGTGAAAAGTTGAAAAATTAGAATTAGAAACTTACACTTTCTGCAGAACAAAGTAATTCAAAAAGCTTTCTGTTTGAAGGAGGAGACTGATTACTACGCTGTATAGGAGGCGGTTCAGAAGTTGGATTTTTCAATTTTAAATTGAAGAAACGTGATCTGAACGGAATGGCTGCTTCTGTGCCCGAGCTTGAAATACCACTTGCTTTCTGCAGCAAAGCTATACTTTCCTTTTTGCAAAACTCTACAACAGCATGGAGACCCTGAGCCAAAAATAAGAAAAGACAACACATTTCAATGACATATCTCATTCAGTATTTTAGAACAATTACCATATTTAAGAAAAACCAAAACTACCTCCTTTTTCATTTCTAACATAGACAATTATTTTAATCATTGTTAAGTAGACTAAGAAAAAAATGACTATAAAGACACTGTCTTAATTAAAAGCTGAAAAGAATCCTAAAGAAAAAGAATTAAAATATACAACAAAATGCTTCATCTCAAAATATGGGACTAAAATATTCAAATAATAGAAAAATTCAATTATAAATTACTTATAATTTTGTAGTACTGCTGTAAAGATTTCTATTCTCATGTCCAAAAAAAGCATATTCAAGAACTTTAAGGGAAGATGTATTATATCAAAAGAAAGTCTAATTTTTGTTTATTACAAAGACACAATATAATAAAAGCAATCAATGAAGACTTCTGTCCTTTAGAAGCATGAATTTAAGTTAGATTGTTTTTTAAATACTTACAAAGCTTTCATAGAAGAAATGATTACTAATAGAGCCATACTGAGATAAATATTTAATAAACTTTGTTTCACTAATTTTATCTGGGCAATTTATTAAAACTGTTCGTTGTGCCTGTTCTCGTCTTTCTTTCTGCACTTCAGAGAATCTTTTCTGAAGAATCCTGTCTTCAGAGCCTAGGAACAAAACAAAAACATTTCCATCATTCACCTATAAAACTTAAAGCACACTGTGATGACATATTCTATAATCTATGTAAAACCACATTTTACTTTTGGGGTGAGCTCTGGTGGCTGAGTGGTGAGGAGCTATGCTGCCAACACAAATGCAATTCCACTCATCAGCTAGCCTGTGGAAGAAATTTGGTCAGTCTCCTTCCATGATATTAATCGCAAATCTACTGGAGGGTCTGCTATGGATCAGTTCTGACTCAATACTACACAATAACAACTTCAAATTTTCATTTTACCAACTCTTTTAATTATCTTTGGAAATATCCACTTTCTCTGTTTGCCTCACTATATATTATGCCTAATGCTATAAACAGACAAGGGAGGTTTGGTGGCCTAGTGGCTTGAATGGCACATGGCTTGAATTCACCATCTACTCTGCACAATAAAGATGAGGAATCTCCAACTTACTGCCTCTTAAAACCTGCTGGAGAGTATGGGCCAGCTTCAACTCAACCACACATAACAACAACAACAAATGTAAGAGTTCCACTAAACTTTAAAAAGTAAAATCAGAAAAGAAAACTACAGTTGACACTTAAGCAATGCAGGGGTTAGAGGTGCCAACTTCCTAAGCAGCCAAAAATTGGCCCGTGCGCAGCATGGTTCTGAACTGTGTAGAATGACCCTTGTTAAGATGAGTTTCAAATTAAAACAGATTCCCCCCAACCCCCGTTGCTACCGTGATGAGCTTAATGGTTGAGAGTCTACTTAAAATGCCTTATAATGTTACACAAAGATCTATGCAAGAGCAATTCTCCAGTTCTGTTCTTAAGTGAGCTCTGGTAGCTTAGTCTATCAGGATTGCACTGATAATCCAGAGGCAATGTTTCTTTGGCAGTTCAAATTCACCAGTAGATCCTGAGCAGAAAAACGGTCAACCTCTTTTCATGGGATTTATAACCTCAGAAACTCAATGGAGGGTCAGTTACGACACAGTTTTTACTCAGTGACAGTAACAGCCATTTTAGGTCCCCAACACAGGAGAAAGGTCTAATTACTACCTATATATTCTTGACTGATTTTTACAGAGTTTAGCTTGGTATCTTACTTATTTGCTATCTGCTTACTATAAAAGTCAAGTAGCATAAAATTTTATTGGAAGAAAAAGTATGACTCCTCCCTCAGTCCTCTTCCCCTAATAAAAGGCAAAGACTAAGTTTAGTTCCTATCTTTCCAGGCATTTTTCAGGGCAGATGTAAACATGATATATAAAAATACTTGTATTTCTCCACAAACATAAGTTCTCTGGATTTAACAGATATGCAGGAGTTGAATTAACCAGAGAACTTCAAGGAGAATTAAGAATAGTGAACAATCTGGAAACTATGATATATAATTACCATAGTTAAAGGGGGGACTTATGGTCCAGGGAAGACAAATGAGAACATGAAGACAAGCATCATTTATAAATTGTACAGAACTTTGTTGATTTCTTAGTGCTTTCACATCTACAATATCTTTTTTTTTATTTTATTTTATTATTTTTGTGTAAGTGTACAGTCAAATCAGATCTGACTGGTACAGGAGGAGATTGTCCCTCCTTCCCCCGCAGAGCATCTGGTGGATTCGAACTGTGCGCCTCTAGGATTGTAGTTGCAGCTCCTTGCCACTAGGCCACCAGAGCTCCCCTTACGATATCTTTTGAACATCAAACAATCTTTTGACAGCCGGGAGAACTGTCATCACAACTTCATGCATAAAGAAGCTACACAATGTTGGGGAGGGTGGGGAGGGTGGCTGGGGTTTGGAGGGGAGAAAAGTGCAACAATAAATGATTGGAAAATCCAAAGTCTCTGTAAATTTTCATTGAAATTAAGAATAAAAAAAAAGTTTAAAAAAGTTATATATAAAAAAAAAAGAAGCTATACAATGTCAATTACTTAAATACTGGGCAGCCCTCTGTAACATGTCTGGATGATTGCTATCTGTTCCCCCTTTTTCTGGTTACAGTGCACCACTAGTTGTAGAAAACTTGTGGTTGGGCTGTCAATACAACTCACTCACTAATCACATTTACTCTATTCTATTAAGTTGGCCTGACTGTTGGGTTACTTCGAATACAAATGTTTTTAGCCCAAAGGATTATTGGGAGGTTCCACTGACTGAGCCACCTACACTTCATTTGACCCTATGAACACATATGAACATTGTCCTATCCTGCGTCATCCTCACAATGTCTGAAAAGCTCTATGATATACAACTCAAAGGCACTGATTCTTTTTCTGTCATCCTTATTCACTATTTTATATATATAATATTATAATATATTCACTATTATATCTAATTTACAAATTATGGCTAACATTGAAAAGAATGGGAATCCCAGATTAATTGTGTTCACGTGAAGCCATATTATACTTAGACCAAAAGGCTGTTGCCTGAATAGTGCCAAGGAACAGTGCATGGTTGAAAATCAAGAAAGCTGTGCATCAAGGCTGTATTCTTTCTATACACTTATTCAATCTGTATGTTGAACAAATCATTTAACTTCTATGAAGAAGGTGGTTTTGGGATCAGAGGAAGACTCATCAACAACCTGCATAATGCAGATGACACAATCTAGCTTGCTGACAGTGAGGGCTTGAAAGTTTTGCTGCAAAAGATCAAAGACTACAGCCTTCCATATGGATTATACCTCAACATCAAGAAAAGAAAATTGCCTTTCTATGAAGATGGTATCAAAAGCAAAGAAGGAAGCCCCTACTCCTCCCAAAATTGAAGCTAAAGCAAAGGTATTAAAGGCCAAGAAGGCAGTCCTGAAGGGCATCCGCAGTGACTAAACAAAGAAGATCTGCACGTCACCCACCTTCCAGCAGCCTAAGACACTGAGACTCCAAAGGCAGCCCAAATACCCCTGGAAGAGTGACCCCAGGCGAAACAAGCTTGACCACTATGCCATCATCAAGTTTCCCTTACAACTGAGTCAGACATTAAGAAGATACAAGATAACAACACACTTGTGTTCATTGTGGATGTCAGGGTCAACAAGCACCAAATTAAACAAGCTCTATGACACCGATGTGGCTAAGGTCAACACTCTGATTAGGCCTGATCTAGAGAAGGCGGCCTGTGTTCAACTTTCTCCTGACTATGATGCTTTGGATGTTGGCAACAAAATTGGGATTATCTAACTTAGTCCTGCTGGCTAATTCTAAATACAAATTTTCTCACACAAAAAAGAAAATCCTCATCCTTGGACCTTAGGCAACATCATGATAAATGGAGTAAAGACTGAAGTTGTCAATGATTTCATCTTGCTTGGATCCAAAATCAATACCCTTGGAATCAGGAATCAAGAAATCAAGACATGTGTTGCTTTGGCAAAATCTGCAGTCAAAGATCTTCCAAAGTGCATATGAGGCAATAATGTCATCCTAAAGACTAAGGTGCACCTGATTCAAGTCAGTCTTTTTAATTACTTTTTATGCATTGGACTCTGATATAGGACTATATATTGTCTTTCTGGACTTTGCACAGGGAATAAATATCCTCCATTTTCTACTTAAGCTAATTTGAATTCAATTTCTATCACCTGCTTCTAAACAAATCCTGAGTAATACACTAGAGGATCTTATTAATTCAGAGTTCTTTCTACTGCAGCTTTTACATGAAAGGGATGGCAAAATTAACATGAATAGATAAAACTGAGAAATTAGATTTTTACATTATAAACAGCTTCCAACAATTAGAGCTTGAACAAAACAGGATAGGCTGACTTAAGAGATACTATCTTCCCCATCAACAAACGAATGGATAGAGAAGCTGTGGTATATTCACACAATGGAATACAATGCTGCAATGAAAAACAAGGAACTCATGAAATATTATTCAAAATGGGTGACTCTGGAGGACATTATGCTGAGTCAAGTATCTCAGTCACAAAAAGGACAAATAATGCATGGTGCCACTAAAATAGGACTAACCCTGGGGTTGGGGAGAGACTGAGAAAGATGGGTTCAATAATGTATACTGCATTGAAACAGATGAGGGAGAAAACTGTTTAAAAGGGATATGTGATTAGGTATTTTTGTCAT